ATAAACCTTAGAGACCATCATATCCATCCACCTTGTTTTACACGGGTGAGGAAGCTGAGCTCGAGAGGGGTTAAGTAACCTGTTCAAGGCCCCGCAGCTAGTCTCTGAGGATGAATCGAAACCCAGGTCTTTTGGACTCCAAGTACAGCACTTTAGCCTGCATATCATGCTTTTCATTGAAGCCCTTGACTTTCATTAGAAACAGTGATTATTTAGGATCTTTATAAGAAACCTTAAATACTTTAGGGTATTTAGTTAAACCCTAATCATCAGGGTCATCAGATTTAGCCAGTCTTAGGAGATTCACCATCACATCCTAGGTATGTGTCCCAGGAATACACTAGACCTCTTTACTGTTTAAAAAAAAAAAACAACAACCTTGTTTAAATAGGTCTAGAGTCAGTGTCCTCTTATCTTTATCCTTTCTTCTAATTTGGCATTTATTTTGACCTTTGCTCTAACCAGTCAAAAACCTGCCTATGCACAGACAGCTGATTTCAATCAATAAAGAGTGACTTCCTGTCAGTTAGTATATAGTCAATTTCATTTACTATGAAGCTCTTCAGTGCTTACCACATATAGAACCTTCTAACCCCCTTCCAGACAAAAGTGTTTATTATATACATGAATGGCCTTTCACTCCTTCATTTCTTTATCCTCAACCACATTTTACAAAGCAATTTTTGCCCTCTTCGCCTGGGTCCACTTTCACACTGAAGTCATCAACTAGCAATTTATGTGTTGACTTAAATCTAAAGAATCTTGTCAAGTTCTTCATAGGAATTTCTATATTTCTCCATCCTCTAAAACAAATGTTAGTGTAAAAACTGCAATTATATTCGTGATGGGGTTTTTTGCTTGTACTCATTATGAATATTTCAATAATGATCAAATGTCCCACAAAATTACGCTTCTTTTTACTTTGGACAAACAATGGAGACAATTCTGCCAATTTCTTTATTTGCCTTTCTTAGGAGAACCTGTAAGTCATCCTTGCATTGACTTGTGCCTTCTCCATTTCTTTACGTTTCATTCATAATGAGAATATTATCATGAATGCAGTTCGGTGCCCCTAGTACTATATCAACTCACTGGCTACTGGATTATTGTGCTTGGAACATATTAATTGCTTAATAAATGTTATCTCTATCCATCTACTTCCCATCATTGAGCATGGGTGTCCTCCAAGGCTTTATCCTAGATTTCTTCTCTCTCTTCACTGTCTTTCTTGGCAATTTCAAATACCCCCATGAGTTTCATTATAATTTTTATTCAGATGACTGTAAATTGATATTTACCCAGCCAGGTCCCATTGATATCTCAAACTCACTATGTCCAAAAGTAAATTCATCTTCTTCTCCTCTAAATCCACTCCTCTTTCAAACTTCTCTGTTTCTCTTGCGATACCATCTATCCAATCACTCAAAGTTCCAAACCATAGAGTTAGGTGTTCTTTGACCCTATCCTTCACCACTTATTGCTCAATCAATGACCTAGTCTTCTTCATTTTACCTCCACATTATCACTCACATCCTTCCTCTTCTCCTTATTCACACTGTCAAAACTCTAGTTGAAGCCCTCATCACCCCTCATGCACATCTATAGGGAACTGTATCCATAATAATATCCTCACTGAGGCATAAGGCAACGCAAAGAGGACTTGAATATTCTTCTCAGAGAATCAAATAAAGAAATCGGCAGAGCTGTCTTCATTGTTTCCCCAAAGGCAATAAGAAACATAATTTCATGGGATTCCTAATTGGTCTTTCTATCTTTAGACCCTCTTCCCTTCCAGTAGTTCCTTTACACAACAGACAAAACTCCTAAGTAAGGTCTAACCATGTCACTTGCCTAGATCAAAAACTTAAATTGGTTCAAAGTCTTTAGAACAAAATGTAAGCTCTTCATACTGGTATATAAACGAGAAGTTAACAAGTTGAAAGATGACATAAAAAAAAGCCAGAATTAGATGAACTGGCTCTACCAAGATGAAATGTAATAGCAATAAACATAAAATCTTGTGGTTGGGTTCAAAAAATCAATTTCTCAATTACAAGATGATAAAGATGTGGCTAGACAACAATTTTTGTGAAAAATATCTAAGACTTTTTAATGGACTGCCATCCCAACATAATGCAACATTGGGACTTGGCAGTCAAAAAAGCTGTTAGGTTCTCAGGCTGCCTTAAAAGAAATATGATATTCAGAATATTGCAACATGGTGAAGTACTTTATGTCCATGCCATATGAAGATCAGTTAAAGGAACTTGGTTAGCATTGCCTAGAGAAGAGAAGGCTTACAGAAGTATCATTCCAGTCTTCAAGTATCTGAAGGGTTATCATGCAGAAAAGGGATTAGACTTGTCTTCCTAGACCCTGAGGGCAGAACTAGCAAAAAGTGGTTAGAAGTTGCAGATTTTGACTCAATATAAGGAAAAATTTCCAAACAATTTGAACTATCCAAAGGTCAAGTAGGACTCTTCAGGAAGTAGTAGGCTATCCTTCACTCAGTCACTTCCTTTCTCTGGTTTCTCTCATCTCATCTGTCAAATGGGGATAGTAAGCCCTGTCCTGAGCATTACATAGATTTGACATCTCCAAGAAGAGTCTGGCTAACTCTTTGGGGGCTATATTGTAAGAGAATTCTTGATTAGATAAGGGTTGGATCATATCACCTTTGAAATTCTTCAATTAAAAACTCCTAGATCTCAGATTTAGAATGATAATCTGCCCAATATAAACAAGTCCTTCCCACAGCCAACATCCCCCTCCCACAGTAAGACAGCTCAGGAAACTTAGTCCCTCTTGTCAAACCCAAACTAGGAATTCTTATACTAGTGCAAATACCACAAACAATAGTACTGGCAGGAGAGGTAGGGTACTGATGAGAGAGGAGAGACAATGTCTCCAACAAAAGTTGCTGCTGGGAATGCCATCACAGAGACAGAGGGGAAGAAACTCACCATCTGGTAGCTTCCTATTTTAATTATTATTGCTAACTCAGTGCTAAACCCCCTATTTTTCTATGCTGCTAAAGTGCAAATGTTGTCAGTACCCTCTAAATTTAGCACCTTGGAGCAAAGCTCTGATCATTTCACCCTAGTTATGACCCTGGTCACATGCTGAGCCAGAGAAAGATATTTCAGTGACTAGTACAATAAGACATCCCTTGCCCTTGGTCACACAAAAACCTTTCTAATGAAAATTTGACATCATTCTTGTAGTCGTTGGGCCTAACCACGTAAGCAGCTACTGAACGTTACCAATACATGCCCACTATTACCCTGCCTCCAAAGTACACAGAAAGTGTGAGACCCCCTTGTGACAATGCAAGGGAACATGGACAACATACTCAAACCACTCTCTTTAGGCTCTACACAATCCCTCATCACACACACACATACACACACACACAAAAAATGTCATGCTATCATCAGCATGGCTGAATGAGTGTTGTGTAGAAGTGCTTTGTGACAGGGGTATTGGATGAAACAAATCTATGTTCTCTCCTATTCAGCAAGAACTGGATGAGACAGGATCCCATAGAATGTATATATAGACACAGATAGAGAGATAGAGATAGAGATTTATATGTATGTGCATATTTACATATGTGTTATATATACATGTATATACATATATAATCTGAGATTATATAATATGTATCATGATACTGTAGAAAAAGCATTTGTGAACAGTTAGAAGATTCGGGTTCTTATCATTACACACAAAAAAAATTCTTAATTTTTAGGCTAACTGCTTAGATTTAAAAGATCAATCTGCTGTTGATCCATAATGACATCTCATATGAGTCACTCCTGTCTGGCCTCGGTTTTCTTTTCTGTCAAATGAACATAATAACCCTTGACCTGATTCCTTCAGAGAGTCGCTTTTAATATCAAATGGAGCCTTGGGCAACTCATTTCCCTGGGCCTCATTTTCCTCACTGGAGATAATAACATTGCCCTGCCCCCTTCACGATGTTGTTGCAATGATCAAATTGGATGATGACGTGTGGATAAAACACTTTGCAGACCACATATAAATTATTGCTACTGTTATATAACACACAATAATAATAGGACACACAAATGGAGTCTATGATCCTAAAGGGAACAATATGTGTGCCTGACTATAATTGTGATTAGAGATCAGAAGAAGGAGATATCATCATGAGAGTCAAGTTCATCAGGAACATCTCCTTGAAGGGGGTTACCTTAGAATCAGACCATTAAAGATAGGTAAGATTTTCACAGGAAGAGAGAAGAGGGGAAGACATTCCACATAGAGTAACACACAAAATGTTTGGAGGGACCAGCCTATTGGAAGCAAAAGAGTCATATAGATTATCAACAAAAGATAAACTTGGAGAGATAGGTTAGGACCAAAATGTGACAGTTCTTAAATCCAATTCATCCGAAGGACCCAAGGATTGTTTGGGACTCATTTTTTTCCAGTGAGGTCATCCTACTCTCAGAGAGAGGAATAGATCAGGAATGATGCCTGCATACAGGCAGAGTGGATAGTATGAAGTCGTGGGCCATGATCTGGGGTGATGCTGGTCCCTTGAAAAGTTGTGGTCACAAGAGAGATGGTGCAACAAAAGTCTATGGTACTATGCCAAAGAAGGAGGATTGGGGAGGGGCAGGGAAAGTGATGCGGAAACTGAAGGGTAGGCTATGGGGGTGGAGGGGAGAGGGGAGGGAAGTGGGAGCCAGAGGCAAAACAGGGGATATGACCAAATTGCTCAAATCATAGGAAAATAAATTGAATTATCTTCCACGGACCATGCTATCCCCTGATTTGCATCTGTGCCAAATATCACCCGAGCCCCTCTGTAAGGCTGACCTCCTCCTAGGCTTTGGGATGGCTCAGTATCAGGGGAGTGGGAAAAGGGAGAAAAAGGGGCAGAACCAGGCCCTGGGGGGGAGCCTTACAGGGAGGGTGAGTTGCCACTGTCTTATTTTAAGTAGAGCCCTATGCTGAATCTGTTTCAGGAGGATGAAGCTGGGGAGGGGAGGTTCAATTTCTCTGCTTACGGGATGGGCCCAGCCTGTCTACAGGCCAAGGATGGCATCTCCGTCAAGGGAGCCAACAACAACACAGGCAACCCTCCACCTCCTCCCTCCAAGTCCCCAGAGGAGATGCGCAAGCTTTTTATCCAAAGGGCCAAGAAGATTGACAAGATGTCCCGGATTGGCTTCCCCATGGCCTTCCTCATCTTCAACATTTTCTATTGGATCATCTACAAGATTGTCCGCAGGGAGGATGTCCACAATCAGTGAATGGAAGGGCTGTGGCAGCTCGGGTAGGGGCAGGGAGGGCATGGCACAAGGAAAATAGACCCAAGGGAAGCAGAGGGAGAGGAAGGGCTCTCCCAGAACACGTGCAATAGCAATGCAGAAATGCATGAATTTCCGAATGTGGCAATATCTATTTAAACATGGGGAGGGATGGTGGGGGGGGGGGGGGGGAAGGGTGGGGGAAGATCTTTCCTATATAGGGACTGGCAAGAATGAGTGGGGCTGGAAGAGAAGTTTTACAAACTAGAGTCCAGGGACTGTGGGCAGTTGGTAGTTTTCCAGTTGGGGAGGGGGCACAATTTGCCCCAGGAAAGCAGTGTTATATATAAGCTATATATTTATGCTTAATTATTATGCAAAAAGATCTTTTCAATTTTTAGCCTATTAACTGCTTAGATTTTAAAGTCACCGGAGTGACTGACAATTTTCCAAGCGTGGGAACAGCTGCAAAGACCTTAAGCTGATAGTCATGTGTCCTCTTCCTCTCCCCATACCCATCCCAAGGTCATTCTTATTTCCAAGTGGACCTGGGTAGACTAACTGTCGCGTCCCAAAGTCATTTATCTCTGCTTTGAAAGATCGCTCGGGGTGGGGAACAGGAGGTGTTAGGATGAAAAGAAGAGAATGGATGGAGAGGTCCAGGGTCACGGGAAAACTTGGGGTCCCTTGTTCCTTGTGTCCTGTAGCTAAAGATTGCAGCAGGCCCATGTCTCTGAGCTTCATACTCACATAACCCAACACACCATTCGCCTCTTCCCCCATCTCCTCCCCAGGAAAACAAACACAAAAGTGGGGGTCACAACTTTCTCCTTAGAAATGTGGCCAATATGCAATTTTTTATGATTTTAAAAAAGTTTTCCAAAAAAATGCAGCTAGAATGAATGTAAAAGGATGCCACTTTTGTAAATGTCTATGTTTTCTTCAAGTCTCTTTGGAATTGCGAGGAGGTGTATGCATGAGGTCTCTGGAAAGAAATAGGCTTATGACATAGGCATTCTATGAAGATTAGCTTTAAAGAGGAAAGGGCAGTGGGGAAATTGCCCCTGGCCTGGCAGAGAAAGGCCAGTCATTATTTTCTGACATTTCATAGATAGGTAATAATATGGAAATTGGGGGAAACAACCCAATTATATTTTTGTAAGTCCGTTTGGGTTTGGGGTAGGGGTTTTCTGTTTGGTTCCATTTAATTTGGTGTTTTGTTTAGCTTTAATGTCTAAGAAAGTCAGACTTGAATTTCTCTCTGCAAGAGGGAAAGAGTTCGGGGGCACTGCTGCCCAAAGACGGGTTATCCTCACAGGGATGTTACATGGTGGGAAGTGAGGGCTAGAAGGACGGAAGCCATCTGACCCCTGGCACTGCCAGACCTGAAACAGTTTGTCAGAGAATGCACGGCGCCAGTCTTTGCAGCCCTCTGGCCCTGAAGTAGTCGGGGCTCCAGCCTGGCTGTAAGGACCTGGATGCTGGGGTTCCATGTTTTCCTTTGCACTTTAGTATCTTGGCTTCAAATGAGAGCAGCAACTGGTTTGATTGGTGGTTGACAATCAATCTCTGTAGGACTTTGTTTCTTGGGGGCTCAAGAGGCAGAAATAATGGTCCCTAACAATAAGAGCATAGGGAACTTAAAACCTGCTCAAAACAGGAGGACATCATAGGAAACTGGCTCATTCCTAAGATCGATCACCTTTCTTCTGGGGAATTTCTCCCATCAACTGCAACACAACTGATAGGTCTCCATGGACCATTAGAGGGTTGAGTCAAGTGACTCAGAAAGTCAAGTAGAAAAAATGGACTTGCAATAAGAATAGAAAAATAGACTATGCAGCAAAAAAAAAATTTATCTGTCTGAACGTGCAAAAAGACTGAATATTTGCCTGCCTTTGATTTAATTTAGCCTATGTAGACACAGATACTGAAACCTAAGAGAAATTCCACGCTAGCCATGGTTCAGGTGGGATGAGACCTTGAACTCCTTTTCCTAGAGCATAAACCAAATTAGGTAAGAGCCAGTGGGGCAGGGGGCTTGGAGAGGAAACTGCAACAGTTCCCCTCAACCAAGACTTTCTCACTTCCTTGCCTGCACACTGGACCTTAAATCAGAAGCATGGGAGAAAAATGGTAATTGATGCTTCTAGTCCTGCAACGGGATATCTGTCTTCTGAGTGGTTATTTGGGCCCCCTTCATCAGCAATACATTCATTTTACTTTAAAATGAGTAAGAGACAAAAAGGAAAGAAAAGGAAAGGAGAAAGGGGAAAAAAAGGCCCTCCCTGTACCCTTTCACAACATGGCACCAAATTCATTATGTCTGAGGTCTGCACTATAGAGGAATGGGAGCTGGAATCTCCCAGGGTAAAGGGAGAGTACCAGTTGATCTTGGACATTTCATCAGAATTCTTAGATTCCAAATAATATTTTCACCACCACCCCCAACCCTCTTTCCATTCTGGGCCTCTGGGAATCCAGAGACAGAAATAACGAGAATTTTGGGGATATTTGCCTGGATTTTGAAACATCGGCCAAAGTTACTGCTCCTACCAGTTAGCTTGTTGAATTATTGGACCCAGCAGGAGAGGGATGAATTGGTTAGTTGTATCCACAGATAAATAAATCACTTGAAACAGCTCCTTATTTTAAGGAAGCGAGGGGGGATCCTACCGGACTCTTTCGCACGGACTACTCCACTGAAGCAGCTACCGAGGGAAAATAAACCTGGATGCTTGGGCTCTTCTGATGAAAACTGATCAGACTCGAAGTTTCATTTCACTTTTAACTCTGGCTCCTGCTTCTCTCTTATTTTCCAACCTTTTTGCTTGACTACCTGGGTAACCTGGGGAAAGTCACTTCCCCTCTCTCTGGATCTCAGTTTCTTTAAAAAAAAAAAAAAAAAGAGCAGTACCGGATGAGGCTCTGACAGCTCTAACATTTGAGAATTCTAGATTTTAAGTTGTTTCCAGTTTTAATATTCAATGTTAATATTATTTACTTTTCTGGGTCCCGTCAGGAGGTTTTATTCCTCTCTGTTACCAAAGGAAGCAACAGGGAGGAAAATGGAGATCTCAAAAGTTATTCTATAACACCGATGGGAAGCATTATTCCAAGGCAAAGTGTCCAAGCTTAAGGGAGATGCAGTAACTAATGCATTCATTTCCTCGGTGTAGGTGACCTAACTGGATAAGTTGGGCCAAAAACTTTTTTCCTAGGAAGCTTATTTGCCAAATCTCTACTTCACCTTGTGTTATATGAGCACCATGGTATGTCTACATGCAAAAAGTAGGTCAGGGTGAGATAAATCAGGTGAAACTCATAGGGCTTTTTGCTGTTGTTGTTTTAAAACCGGGCCATATATATAGCTAGAGGTGTGCTAGTAACGTTTAACAACAAGCTTTTCAAGAGGGAAAAATATGTATGCACAACACACTTTTAAGTTTAATCTACATTATTTTTTCTCCATTCCTTTAAGTCTAGACAATCAACAAACAAAATGTGAAACCCTGATTTGTAGTGTTTGCAATTTCCAAGATAGAAATCCTCATGCTGAAAATTTAACAATCAGCTATTAAAAGCCAGTATGACCTAGCTCCAGAGCACATTTCACTGTATTAGCCACAGTCCTCTAAGTATTGATAAATCATTCCCTAGCAAATCCGATTGTATGACTTCTTTGATCTTCACAATTATAATAGATCCCAATGAGAGGGTCAGTCATGATCAGTGTTAAACCCGAAGATGAACAAAACTGGATTGCCTAGCTTTACTGAATATCAAGGGTATGCTCTTTGCTGACTTCCCTCAGAGTGTTAAGTATAGAAGATGCAGTGGAATGGAGTAGAAATAACGAAAGGACATATCTATGTACTTTGATCTTAACTCTACTTTTCAGTTGAATCTGTAGGGATGAGCAGGAATGCTTAATCACACTCGGGGGTCTGAGTGGACTTCAAGTTGAATATGAGTCAGCAGTGTGATATGGCAGCCAAAAATGCTAATGGGATCGTGGGTTGCATTTATACAAGCGTAGTATCCAGAACCAGTGAAATGAGTCTCACTCTTCTTCACTGGACAGACTTCATGTGGAGCTCTGTCCTCTCTGCATCCAGGCCTGAGTGCCACATTTTAAGAGGGGCATTGACCAGCTGGATTGTGTCCTGAGGTGAGCAGGATGGCAAGGGGACCAGAAACCAAACCATAAGAGTAACTGGGGATGTTTAATCCAGAGAAGAAAAGATTTAAGCGCTAAGCGATAACTGTCATAAAGTATTACAAGTAAAGCCACGTGGAAGAGCAAATTGACTTGCTTGGCTAGGCAACAGTTCAGAACTAGGACCAATGGACAGAAGGGAAGATCATTCTGGTCATCAGTTTCTCATCTGTAAAATGACATACATTAGGCAAGGTGATCTTTACTATTCCTTCCACTGAAGAAAAATTTACTATAAACTATAAGTTGCAGAAACGCAGATTTCAGGAGGAATATACACTGGAGATAGTTCCTTGACTTTGAAGTATGGCACTTTGCAAGCATTACTCACAGAGGGGATTTTTAGCACTGGTCAGCTATATGTTAAGTTGCAGGGTAGGCAGCTGCCAGAGCCTAGATGATTTCATCCTGACAGCAGTTCCTCCCGAGTGGAAAGTAGGTCCCTTCCTTAACTGCAATACAACAATACTGAAAGAAGACACAGCGTTATTATAATTGCAGTATTAACATCCTTACTTGAGGATGCTGGCAAACAATCTTAAGGGATCTTTGAGTTGAGTGCTCAGTTTTAAGCTATGTGGAAGGTGTTTTGAAGTCTGATTGTCTTTCTAATTTACTTATAGAGTTCTGTTTTCCTCCACCACCATCCAATCCTGTCCCAGTTTTGATGAGGAAGGATTATTTCCTATAATTTTCTCTCCCCTTATATTGACAGAGACAACAGCAACATTCCTAAGCCACGACAAAGCTTGCTAAAAAAAAAAAAAGTCTTTGGAGAGGTGTG